TGATTAACAATTATTACATCCACATGATTAACAGTTATTACATCCACATGATTAACAATTATTACATCCACATGATTAACAATTATTACATCCACATGGACACAGTTAAATAAAAGTAAAATAAAATAGTGTAACACGCAGAGCTTTTATTTATAAACAGATAGAATTTTCTGATGATGAGTGGCTCATCAGTCGCTTTGAGGAAAAATCTTTTTTTAGTTTGGCACTGCTGCGCTCTGGGAGCGCCACGCAGCAAGTAGCCACGCGTGCAATCGCTGCTGCTGCTGCACGTGCAGCGATTGAACTGGGGTTCCACAGGAGCTTTCCAGAGGGAGCTGGCAGACCCATCAGGACTGTGTCAGTCCACCCAAAGCTGAATCATGACCAATGGAATGGTCTCATCCATCTGATTCTAAAGGCTGAGTTATGGTCGCGCTCTGGAGCGCGCACCCTCACCGGCAGTGGAGATGTTTCATACTTTGCGTTTACGTTGTTGCAGATTTCTCCAAAATGACATGTGGAAGTACACTTTACAACTTGTGAAAATGTTGTAAGTAGGAGAACAAAAGCTTGACAGACAAACAGACTGCACACAAAGGCTGCGGTGCGTTCAGTGTTTGTGGAGACTCTCCAACATCACGTCACGTCATGTGAACTCTGCTGAGACTCAGAGACTCGTTTCTTAATAAACTAAGTAAAGTGAAATAAACTAAGATCTATGTTCTACCAAACATTTAAGTTCCTCTGTGTTTACAGTCATTATGGTAATAAACTCGTGCGCAAAGTTAATATTTTCAGACTCAGAATGGATGGATGAGCCGGTTGCGCAACACAGCAGCGTGCACACACACACACACACACCGACACACAATCTCTCATTCTTTGCGTGATAAACATATTTTATTCCGATTTTTATTTAAGATTTTTTTCTCACTCACATTATCTTAAATTCATTATTTTTATGACATTAGAAATCATTTCTGGTCATGCAGGGATCACTCAAACGTGTCCTTCACACATGCAGGAAGTAATCTGCATCTGTTTAACATATGTTAATGAAGGCATGTCAGGGGAGGAGTCTCACCTGCGCTCAGTTCCACGTTAATTGTGATGTACAAAAGAAATGTGTGTGGATTCAGGGGTACGCACAGTTCGATACATCTAGATTTTTTTGTGTGTACGCCGTTTTCTGGATTTGACCGTACGTCAGGTTTCAGTAAGAAATCCACACAAGTCTTTGTACATGAGGCCCCAGGTCATCTGGCACAGCACCCCATCACTCTCCTTCTTGGTCAAACAGCCCTTACACAGCCTGGAGGTGTGTTTGGGGTCATTGTCCTGTTGAAAAATAAATGATGGTCCAACTAAACACAAACCAGATGGAATAGCATGCTGTGGTGGCCATGCTGGTTCAGTACAGTATGTCTTCAAATTTGAATGAAAACCCAACAGTGTCACCAGCAAAGCTGGACTGATGTTCATTTCTTAAAGTAATGATGGCCACTCGTTTTTCTTTACTGAACTGCTTTTTTCTTGCCATAATACAAATTCTAACAGTCTATTCCAGGGGTCTGCAACCTGCGGCTCTAGGGCCACATGAGGCTCTTTGAACCCTCTGCGGTGGATCATTGAAAATGTGGCCAAACATAACAGAATAAATTTTTCTGTTTGTTTCTTATACCCACAACAGAAATCAATTTGTATGCAAATATATGCTCAATACTACTAATACAAAAAGTAAAACCTGTTTTTAGCTCATGCTAGCGTGTTGTTTACTTAAATAATCTAACTTATTGCTATGATCTTTCTTTCAAATAAATCAGAATTACCTTTTAAAAGACTACATAATAACAAGAATTAGAAAATAGTTTAGTTGTACTAGTTTTTATGAAATTCAATATAAACTNGTTGTACTAGTTTTTATGAAATTCAATATAAACTTTATACAGTATTTTTTTATGTTTACATGAAAATAGTCTTATTATTTGTCCTAATGTGTAAAAATAATAATAAATATTAAAATTCACAGTATATTTTTTAGTTTTATAATGTCACCTCCACTGGCCGTAAAGGTTCCCAAAAAGGCCTCAGAAAGGCCCGCGGACCACCAGTTGATAATCACAGTCGTAGCTTGTTTTGCAACTCTGGACACATTTCATCAGTGAGCCGAGGAGCAGAAATGGCTCTTTAGATCGTAAAGGTTGCAGAGCCCTGCTCTGTTCAGCAGGACTATCAGCTGTGTGCTGTATCCACCTTCTGCACAACACAACTGATGGTCCCAACYACATTTATAAGACAAGAAATCCCACTTATTAAACCTGACAGGGCACACCTGTGAAGTGAAAACCATTTCAGGTGACTACCTGTTGAAGCTCATCAACAGAATACCAACAGTGTGTGAAGCAGTAATCAAAGCAAAAGGCTTTTACTTTGAAGAACCTGGAATATAAAACATATTTTCAGTTGTTTCACAGTTTTTGTTAAGCTTATAATACCACTTGTGTTAATTCACAGTGTGAATCTACAATTTTTATAGTCATGAAAATAAAGAGAACTCTTTGAACTCTTTGGTTTGTACATAAGTACATAAATAAATAAATAAATAAATAAATAAATAAATAAATAAATAAATAAATAAATAAATACAGTGACCAGCTGTAACATTAAAACCTGAAAGCGGCCCACCTCGATGGATGGATGGATGGTGGGTCCATAGATTTGAGCCGGGGGAGGAGGAGGGGGCGGGATTCCTGCAGCGGCGCCGGGAAACCAGGAAGTGGAAGGCAACGGCTCTGCTGATAGGATGGTGATCTGTGGTCGCCTAGTAACAAACAGGAAGTCATAAAGAGAAAAAAACTTTAGAACATATGTGTCAAATTCAAGGCCTGTGTGTGACTCCCGTCT